TCGTCAATATCATCATTGATAGCAGTTGAAAGTAGTAGTTGATGATAGTCGTTGCCGCTTGACTTTTATATTCATTTGTGCATGTTCGAACGACTACAACTAGATTTAATATATACTTATGTATTCAATATTGTTGCTTTATAATCTAGGAGAAATTTTTATTTAAGTTGACCATTCTCTTAATACTATTTTTCACTCATTATAAATAAAACGTGCAAACTAATGTGGTAGATTTATGAAAATGAAATATTATTTCTTTGTAACCATTATTCATAGGATAAATAGTGTTTCTCAATTAGGTGCTAGTACTTTTATTTAAGGTTAAAGATTTAAAAAAAAAATGGTCAACTAAGAAGATCGACCGTCAGTTCATTTGAAGGTAAGATATGATTATCGTACGAAAATGACACTTGAGTCACCCAACTTCATTGCATTTTAATATGATTGCATTTTTTATTTCAATTTCATTCGGTAATGGGGACCAGAACTAATGACGAGTTCTACGTGTTGATTTTTATATTTAATTACAGAGTAAATTTAATCAATAATCACTGAACTTTACACTTGATTACTACTTGCTCACTCATCTTTCACATATTACTGAATGCTCACTCATCTTTTCATATAATTACTCATTCATCACCCGTCTCTTCAAATAATTGGGCGACTTTTACGGCAAATTTTCAACAACTTCCGACCACAAAGAATGTCGAATTTTGATACCGTTGGAAAGCCCACGACATCCTCTTCAATTACCATCCAAAATCTCATTATAACTCCAAGGGATTCGATCAAAAAATTGCCTTAAAAGTTGCCCAAAAATTTTGAAAATCTGCCCAGATTTTCAAAATTTTTGGGCGACTTTTAAGGCAATTTTTCGGCAACTTTCGACCATCAAAACTATTGAATTTTGATACCATTGGAAAGCCCACAATGTCCTCTTCAATTACCATCCAAAATTTCCTCATAACTCCAAAGGATTTGATCAGAATAAACCCACAAAATCAGCATCCCGAACTTTGTCCAGATTTTCGCCTTTCCAAGATGTTGATTTTGTAGGTTTATTCCGACCGAATCCTTTGGAGTTATGGAGAAATTTTGGATGGTAATTGAAGAGGACATTGTGGGCTTTCCAATGGTATCAAAATTCGATAGTTTTGATGGTCAAAAGTTGCCGAAAAATTGCCTTAAAAGTCGCCCAAAAATTTTGAAAATCTGTCCAGATTTTCAATCATAGGATCTATTTATAAATCCTTGACACGTAGGAATAAGATAATAAACTTGATGGAGCTTTAAATGGCCTCCTACCTTTCTAGCCAAAGTTTCCTACTTTAGATCTTCTATCTTGCTCTTCACCTTTAGGTACATCCTTTTTTGGGAAAAATGAGAAAATGTAGCTAAACGTAATATTGAGAAGTGTGTCCACAAAAAGGCATATTTATAATACTCAATTAGGTTTTCATAATTGTCGAATTTTCTTTGAATTTTATTATAGTAGACCAATTAAATCTCACACCTATTTTAGAGCTAGAGAGGGACTTAACCGAAATCATAACACCCAAACTCCAATAGATGTTTCTAATCATCATTTCACAAGTCAACTCCATTTAATTGTTAATATGTTGAAACGGACAAAATGACTGTTTTGCCTTTCTAACATGTATAGCACTCTAAGATCTAATTTTATAAGGCAACTTCGTAGTGAACAAATCATAACATAGAGTTCAATGATTCGACTGTCGAACTACTGAGTTCAAGTTCAAATTACCTATAGAGTATGCTTCAAAGTCGCGATCGTCTCATCGTGATTATTAACATATTACATTATTGTAAGTAAATGATCTCTAACTATTTTGTCTTGATTCCAAAAGTATCAAATCGTTCTTCCAATTAAGACTTCAATCACTAGTATTTCAAATAACTATCAAAGGTACATTACTCGCTCAATATTTAGGCAATTCGTTCGACGATCAAGTAAAGTCTCATTTCAAACGATCATAAAATGAGTCATCTACATGGTCTTGTTCAATGTACACTAAAACACATCATTATCCTTATTCTCAAATCCAAACAAATATCAATAAGAACAATGTAATCTTGTTAACATAAATCGTCCAAATTTATGTTCCGATTGTGAATATTATATTTTGATCACATGTCAAACTGCATCTCACTATACTTGAACCATCAAGTATACAATTTGTGAATCCTATACAATCATGGAACTTTAGATTATTGTAACAAATTAAAACAAGCGAATAATTGAATATTAATTCATAATGTCTTTTACAAAATATTACTCGAACGGCATCAAACTAAAACCACGTATCCAAAAGAATAAGGCAATTGACTTTTGTTTGGTATTTAAATTAGTCGGATTTGCCACGAAGGTTGATAAGAATTTTAATTTTACGTTTGTGTGATCATCTGTCAATTTGTTCGGATAACGTCTCATCTAGCCAGGGGCGAACTCAAGGGGGGTTCCCTAGAGTCACTTGACCCTCCAGTTTTTTCATTTTTTTTTTTTTTGGTCTTAGTTTTCATGCTCACTATGAATCAAACGAAATTGAAATATTACATTTTTAATATTATTTTGAAGTATTCACATCCTATTATTTTCATGTCATTAACGTCGTACGAAATGACCAATCGTAACAAATGTTATGACGCGTCAAAATAGGCAATTCCAAACAAATATTTCGGGAAATTCAATAACAAGTTAACTTAAATTTTTTTTTATGATTATATGCTAGTCATATCCATAAATCATCTATATCATCTCGAAGCTTATTTCGAAAACTATATTATAAACATATCGAATGATCTAAATGAATATCGAAAATAGTTAAACGTATGTTTAACGTGTATGCTAAAATAAGACGTATAACTCGTATTTTTTGAAAAAAAAATCAATTATTTTATTAATATTTATTATTTTTGCGTGAAAAATTTTTCAATACAATTTACATAATTTTATTAGGAAATTATATATATATGTGGTATGACATCAATTTTTTTTTTTTGACGTATAAATTCTTAATAAAAATTTTATTACTTTATAGGGGTTATAAAATTGTTATACTACTTTTTCATTTTGATTATCTTTATATCTGCAAAAAAATTGACATTTATTGGATTATTTTTTTTAAAAAAATTAATTGGTTAAGAGGAAAAAGTAACAATAATAATAAAAAAAATCCTAAAAATGGTAAAAAATTTAATATATATATAATTTAGATGTAAAAGTAATTAAAATGAAAAAATAGTATAACAGTTTATAACCCATATAAAGTAATAAAAAAAAATTCATCAATTTTTTTTTAAAAATTTGATTGTGATCCCCTAATGTAAAATGTCCGCGTCCACCCCTTCACCTAGCATGTCATTCAAAATGTCAATCACGTAGAACTGCTTATGAGTTTTAACCCAAACTAATGTCTAGTTCCACGTATAGATACGCCACCTATAAAGATGTAAAGTAGGTTGGTCCAATTCATTCAAAGATCTTCGTGGGCCTTGAGAACATTTCTGTGACGCTTGGGCCAGTAACCCTTAGAATTGAAAAATACCTATCTATCTTGATATCTCTAGCTACCTCGAGCCAAGTATAAGCAGAAATACACAAATAAAAATGCACACTTACCATAATTTCAGCATAAAAACAGTGAAAGAAAAATGAACCCATTTACCAAAGGGGTTATCATCAATGTCTACATTGAATCATCACAAATTCCTTCACCAAATAGAAAAAATGGCTCCATCAAGATGATCAATCCAAATCCATTTTGTTCCAAGACTGCAGGATATGATCGTCGTAGGCAACTCCTTGAATATGCTCAAGAATTAAGGCATGGTAATGATCCACTTGCACAAGGGCCCCAAAAGAATTCGAGGCCAAAACACAAGGTATAGATTTCTCTATTTATCGAGCGATTGTCTAGGAGTCTTAGCTCGTGATCTGGGTTTTCTCTACTATTAAGATTATATTCATTTCTACTATCTATTTTGTGAAAAAGAAAAAGACATAGTGGAATCATTATTGAGATTTTGAATGTGACAAATTAGAAAAGTTGCAGGTTTATGTAGAACATAGTTTTGTTACTCATCAACTAACGAGAGTATGAAAACCCTAAAAAGATATTGTTTTCTCTCATTGATAATTCGTTCGTAAAGAAAGGCCCTTGAAAAATTCAAGGACAAAAGGCAAGGTGTAGATCTATTTATTTCACGTTTAGATTCTTTAGGGGCCTTAGCTGATGATCTCGGTGATTTTCTTTCTTGACTCGATGATGGAGCTTTCTCTTCATTTCTATAAACCATTTTAGGAAAAAAGAGTATGGGACAATTCTTGATGTCTGTCATCAGTGAATTATCGAAAAAAAAAAAAAAAAAAAAGTCGAAGATTTCATCACTAAAGAAAAACGCGTCAATTTGTCACTCCATCGCACAAATATATGAAACCACAAAAACGCTATCATTCTAATAACTAGTCGATGAATATAGCTATTTCCTAATATTTATGTAAGTGGTGAACAGAAATGCAGATGGTCACTTCCAATGCAAAGGATCAAATTATTATTTTCGGGATTTCCTCGAAGAACAAGGCAATGGAAGTATGAGCGAATTAGCACCGAGAAGTACAGTGATGCTGAAGGATCAAGCAATCAAGAAAGGAGAAAAACTAAAGCCAAAGGCAGAAAATCAGATTCTCATTTTTGTGTAAGAATTATTTGCATGCTAAGAAATTAAGTGCTTTTTTCCCCTCTTTCTTAAGATTTTCTATTGGTTCCTATGAAATTTATGCAGAAGAAACTGAAGATTTTCTTGAAGGAAATATCGCATTCATGGCAATGCAACAGAGGAAATTGCTGATTTATTTGTTTTTTGTTAGAAGAATCAGGTTGGGAGATTTTGGCAGTTAAATTTTCCTATTCAATAATTTATTCTGCAACTTTATATGTTTGGTGAACTTTATTCAAAAAAATTATCTTAAATGCAACTATTTTCGCCAATTTATTCATTTATGGGAAGATTGAAAGTAACTCTATGTTTTGCAACCATAACAAACTATGTTACTTTTGTATTACGTATTTTAGTGCATGTTTGATAAATAGTACTATGGACAAAAGTTTAGTTCCTTAACATCCTTTAATAGTGTCAAGTTCTTTCTAAACTACATAACAAAAGTGATTCTTTGTATTGAAGCCGAACAAGTTCCAATTATGTGAGTCATTATTCTTAATTTATATTCTATAAAGATTTATATTAAATGGGATTTGGCCAATAAAATTTTAAGGTTCCTACAATACCTCCTCAAATTACTAATAATTCAAAAACTTAGATCCACATGTTGGGCTTGTTTGTTATTTGACTGTAATGCAAAGCCATTTGTTCACATAGGATTGGGTTGTGTTAGAATTTCAGTTCAACCTCAAATTCTTACTCTTGTATCAAGAAATTGATAGAAGATATAATTAGTGTGATCAATAGAGCAATCTTAGAATTTTATCTATATTCTAGGGTAGCCAATAAACACCGCCACCTCCTCCACCACTGTGTTCACCTCCACCGCCTCCACCTCCACCGTATCAACTACCATGCTTTCTACTACTTCCACCACCATACCCACTCTCCTCCACATTGAAGAGGGCTCTCACCAGACATAATCCTATACCCAAAAACACAAAGAAGTCACTCTCGATTTCGCCATGGAAATTGATTTGATTTTAATTTATGAACTAAGTTGCATGAATCAATAGGGTTTTTATGGGAGTGCAAAAGCGCGTTCATGCACTTTGAAGATTGAAAAAGAGAAAAAGAAGTAGGCTTTCTGTCCCACAAAGTGGTCCATTAGACTCTCAAATATAGATTTTATGTTAGTGTAATATTATGTGCTGTTTCGCACATGAAATGAAATAATTAATGATTTATTTTTGGATAAAAAGTTACATTTGCATTGCACTAGAGATTCTTTAGGGGCCTTAGCTGATGATCTCGGTGATTTTCTTTCTTGACTCGATGATGGAGCTTTCTCTTCATTTCTATAAACCATTTTAGGAAAAAAGAGTATGGGACAATTCTTGATGTCTGTCATCAGTGAATTATCGAAAAAAAAAAAAAAAAAGGAAAAGTCGAAGATTTCATCACTAAAGAAAAACGCGTCAATTTGTCACTCCATCGCACAAATATATGAAACCACAAAAACGCTATCATTCTAATAACTAGTCGATGAATATAGCTATTTCCTAATATTTATGTAAGTGGTGAACAGAAATGGAGATGGTCACTTCCAATGCAAAGGATCAAATTATTATTTTCGGGATTTCCTCGAAAAACAAGGCAATGGAAGTATGAGCGAATTAGCACCGAGAAGTACAGTGATGCTGAAGGATCAAGCAATCAAGAAAGGAGAAAAACTAAAGCCAAAGGCAGAAAATCAGATTCTCATTTTTGTGTAAGAATTATTTGCATGCTAAGAAATTAAGTGCTTTTTTCCCCCTCTTTCTTAAGATTTTCTATTTGTTCCTATGAAATTTATGCAGAAGAAACTGAAGATTTTCTTGAAGAAAATATCGCATTCATGGCAATGCAACGAAGGAAATTGCTGATTTATTGGTTTTTTGTTAGAAGAATCAGGCTGGGAGATTTTGGCAGTATAAATTTTCCTTATCAATAGTTTATTCTGCAATTTTATATGTTTGGAACTTTATTCTTTCTAATCTACGTTTATTCGTTTATGGGAAGATTGAAAATAACTCTATGTTTTGCAACCATAACAAACTATGTTACTTTTGTATTACGTATTTTAGTGCATGATAAATAGTACTATGGACAAAGTTTAGTTTCTTATCGTCCTTTAATACTGTCAAGTTCTTTCTAATCTAAGTAACCAAAGTGTTTCTTGGAATTGAAGCCGAACAAGTTCCAATTATGTGAGTCATTATTCTTAATTTATATTCTATAAAGATTTATATTAAATGGGATTTGGCCAAAAAAATTTTAAGGTTCCTACAATACCTCCTCAAATTACTATGATTCAAAAACTTAGATCCACATTTTGGGCTTGTTTGTTATTTGACTGTAATGCAAAGCCATTTGTTCACATAGGATTGGGTTGTGTTAGAATTTCAGTTCAACCTCAAATTCTTACTCTTGTATCAAGAAATTGATAGAAGATATAATTAGTGTGATCAATAGAGCAATCTTAGAATTTTATCTATATTCTAGGGTAGCCAATAAACACCGCCACCTCCTCCACCACTGTGTTCACCTCCACCGCCTCCACCTCCACCGTATCAACTACCATGCTTTCTACTACTTCCACCACCATACCCACTCTCCTCCACATTGAAGAGGGCTCTCACCAGACATAATCCTATACCCAAAAACACAAAGAAGTCACTCTCGATTTCGCCATGGAAATTGATTTGATTTTAATTTATGAACTAAGTTGCATGAATCAATAGGGTTTTTATGGGAGTGCAAAAGCGCGTTCATGCACTTTGAAGATTGAAAAAGAGAAAAAGAAGTAGGCTTTCTGTCCCACAAAGTGGTCCATTAGACTCTCAAATATAGATTTTATGTTAGTGTAATATTATGTGCTGTTTCGCACATGAAATGAAATAATTAATGATTTATTTTTGGATAAAAAGTTACATTTGCATTGCACTAGGATATGTCTTTAATTTGGTACAAATTTAACTTCTTTTCTTTAATTGTTAGGTGATGCAGCTCTCTTCAATTTAAGAAGTAACATACCATCAAACAAATTTAAAACAATTCGAATGACAAGCTATGATGAACTCGTTCGAATATATTCTTATTTTCATTTCATCTCAAGTTAAAAGAAGACATTCCCTATTATAATCATTCTTCCGTCAAAAAATCTATTATCCTTTATAAATTAGTTTTTACTTTTCCATTTTGTGAATTGCTATATGGATCAAAATCAACTAAATTTTTTAGTCCCTGGTGTAGCTAAAACGAGATTTTTAGTAGATTTTAATAAAAGTTAATTGAAAAATTGATAAAAATTGTGGGTTCTATGAAATGTGCAGTTAAAATTAATTGTTGATTTTGATTTAAATTTAAATTTTTATCAAAATTTTTAGTTACACCAAATAGGGACTTAGCTAACGCAACAAATCATTTAAATTTCCGTTCGCTTCCTCTCTCTTCTTAACATTTTCTAGTAAAAATGCATCAATATTTTAAACCAAGTATTTTCAAGTGTACCCAAAATATGTTCAAACAACCTAAGTTGTGGTTCTTAGCCCCTATTTGGTACAACTTAAAATTCAAATTTTTATTTAAGTCAAAGTCATCAATTAATTTTAATAATACATTTTATAGGACCCATAACTTTTCAACTACACAGTTCAACAATTTTTATCAAAATCTACTGAAAATTGGGGCTAATATTTTATCAAAGAAGATTTTATATTCAATAGGATTTTTTATTAGTTGTATAGTGCATAGATTAGAGGATGTCAATCAACAAACAAAAGAGACGGTATGGCATGCCTCTAGACGTACAATCGTGGATTTGTTGGAAATTTAGAGATGGAGCAACTTTTAAGAGAGGAACACTCAACCTATTTTCATATTTCATCGAAAGTCACTAAGTCATTAGCCTTTTATAGGCTTTATAAATTGGAAAAATCTGTTTGTACAGAATTTTTCCTACTGAATAAATCTAGAAAATTCACATGGGATTGGTCCTACATGAGTTTTATATTGAAAAAATATATCCACCCACCCCATAAATTGTGTGTGATTTGTAAGTCGTCTGGCAAATTCTTTCTGTACATGTAGTGAAATTGTTATAAATTATGTATCTAATCTAATGGAGGTTACAACCATTAATTGCAATTTTTTCCTCAAAATAATCTTGTATATACCATATACATGAATCGTCTGGTGCTTGAATAAATTTATTAATGTAGTGTTTAATAAATGTGTTGCTAATTCCAAAAGACATAAAATTAGCTTATTTAAATAAATGAAGTTTAGCCACGTTAGGCTACCATTATTTCACGTTATAATTTTTTCTCTGTATTATTTTCAATCACACAATCTTTCATAAAATAATATTACACGTAAATAGAAAACTTTTCATTCTTTTTCAACTATATATTCTTTAAAAAAACACTATTCCAAAAATTATAGCCCCAAATAATGAGGGCCAAACAGGGCTTATTCTTTTAACAACTCCACTTAAAACTCCATTTACGTAACATAGAGCAAACTATTGGCTTGGTGAAATCTTCAAATTTTACTAACTTTAACTCCATATAATTTTTGTCAACATGGTCTCTAACAAGAGTTTACTTCACGTCGATTTGCTTGCTTCGATCATGAGAAACAAATTTTTTAGTCAACCATAATGCTGACTTGTTGTCAGTGAAAATCTCAATTGGATCATCTACTTGTAACTGAACTTCCTTTAACAAATTATAAGTCAAATTAGTTGACAAACATAATATGCCGTATCAACATACTATGCTTCACAGTTTAAAAGCATAACAACGGATTTCTTCTTGAAAGGCCACATGACCACTTGTGCCTCTTCAATTTCCGGTCTATTCACTATCACTATATATGATAATCTTGAAATCAACAAAATATGAAAAAAATACCCATGTAATTTCATTTTAGAAAATCACAAAATCACAAGTATAAAATATATTATTTTTTTCATGATATGATTTATTTATCATTATATATTCGAAGTGAAATTTCAATTATTATTAGAACTTTAATTTAACCACACATTAAAAATCTTGTATCAACAAGATATCATTAGTGTGGTCAATAGTGAATTTTAAAATTTCACATACAAACAAATATTATACATAAAAAGGAAATGAACAAATATGATTTATAACCTATTAAGTGCAACTAAATTGAACATAACATTATAAGATTACAAAATAAAAAGAGACGTCGACGTGCAAAATATTTATTCAAATTATGTCTTAACATGTCATTCCATGAATATCATAATAGAGAAGAATTACAAGATCCATCCACTAATTCAGTGCATGAATTTTACGAACTTTAAGGACATATCAATAGTATAATTATTTTTGATAAATAATGTTCATTATAAGAAGGGTTTCCCATTTGGATAATGAAGTTACGACAGCCAATTTTCAAGGGGCATAGCCACCTTTCAAGGGGCATAGCCACCATGACCTCCTCCTTCGCCACCCCCGGCACCACCTCCATATCCACCGGCATGTTCACCACCTGCAGACCCTCCTCCACCACCAGCACCACCTCCACCACCTCCTCCATGGCCTCCACCATGGGCTCCTCCGGCACCACCACCTTCACCTCCACCATTACCATATCCACCTCCACTTGCACCTCCAGCAGAACCGCCTCCTCCGCCACCACCATGACCTCCTCCTCCACCATACCCACCAGCAGAGCCATAGCCACCTTCACTGCCTCCTCCAGCACCACCTCCAGCACCTCCACCATTGCCGTATCCACCACCTTCTGCTCCCCCGGCAGAACCACCTCCTCCTCCACCACCATGACCCCCTCCTCCACCATACCCACCAGCGGCTCCACCATATCCACCTTCACTACCTCCTCCGGCACCACCACCAGCACCTCCTCCTTCACCATATCCACCAGCTCCTGCTCCTCCAGCAGAACCACCTCCTCCGCCACCTCCATGACCTCCTCCTCCGCCATACCCACCAGCACCGCCATACCCACCACCTCCTGCTCCTCCAGCCGAACCACCTCCCCCACCACCTCCATGACCTCCTCCTCCACCATATCCACCAGTAGCACCTTTGCCATTTCCACTGCCTCCTCCATCACCACCACCATATCCACCAGCATGTCTCCCACCACCAATAGCACCACCCTCTCCTCCACCATGTCCTCCTCCTCCTCCACCACCACCATGTGCACCTCCACCTCCATACCCAGCACCGCCTCCTTCACCACCGCCAGCACCGTGTCCACTGGCAATCTCCCCTGCACTAGCATACCCTCCGCCCCCACCATTACCACCTCCACCTCCCCCACCATATCCCCCACCATGTTCTCCAATACCTCCACTGCCATACCCACTACCACCTCCCTTTCCAACACCACTTGCGTACCCATGATCAACTACACCACCACCATTTCCACCCCCTCCACCGCCTCCTCCAACACCATTACCTCCATAACCACTTCCCCCCTCCACATTGAAGAGGGCTCTCGCCGCACACAATCCTATACCCAAAAACACAAAGAGAATCACATTAAAAACTCTATGCTTCGCCATAAAAATTGATTTGATTTGAACTTATGAGTTACATTGCATGAATCAATGAGGCATTTATAGGGGTGCAAAACCGCGTTCATTCACTGTGAAGATTGACTAACAAGAAAATGAAATGGGTTTTTAGTCCCACAAAGTGGTCCATTACATTCTCTATAGTGTGCTTGTGCTGTTTCGCACATGAACTGAAATTATTATTGCATCAAACTTTTGATAAAAAGTTGCAATTGCACTGCACTTGGATATGTCTTTAATTTGGTTTACAAATTTCTTACAAGGTTAGGCTAAGAGCTCTCTTCGATTTATCAAACATCCGCCCGTCAAACGAAAGAAGAACAGTTTGAATATAGTGTTGCACCATAATGAATGGGGTGATCTTATAGTTCTTATATGTGAAGAATATGCGTGTTTAAGAATTTCTTCTCTTGTATTAAGCTTGAATTTAAAATCTGTAACAGTAAAATAAATGTTTATATATTGATAAGATCCAAACCCACCTCTCTTTATTTTAGTGCTAGAGCTAGGTGATACATATCTTCTAAATTACTTATTCGGGCTGAATTTAAATTTTTATAAAAATAACGCGAAAATCCCTTAGAATTGGCCAAATTACTTGGTCCCTACTTAATTAGTTTATTTCTTTTTTAACCGATTTATAAAACTCTTTATTTTATGTGGTTATTAAATAATTATTTTTGGACTATAGTATATTCATTCTCTCCCCTAACGCTATTTTTTTTTTTTTTTTCTTTTTCATAATATTTGTCAATTTCAGGCAATTTCTAGCAGTCTGTTTCCCAATTCTCAATTAGAGCGATAAATACAAAGTATATGATATGTTAAGCAACATAAAATATCTTTTCGCTTTTGTTCCAATTTTTAAATTTTAGAATATGAAATGAAATTTATATTCACTTTTACAATATAAATTTTTTTATTGTGAACCACAACAACACATTGGCCATTCTTTTCAGAACATTTCACATTATTTTACTATTTTTTTTTCATTTTTTTCACAATTTTCATGTTAACAAAATGATTTATTTTGAATTTTTAAGCTTGATAAGTACTTTAATTAATTTTCTAAATCATTAAAGATGGAATGTATTTCAGTTGTAATTTTTTTAATGTTAAAATTACCAATCAATTTTTTTATAGGAAAATGTTTAAAAGATATTTAGTTTTATTCATTCCGACAGATTTTTCTATTGTTAATAATTTAATATTTTCTAAATATTACTTAAGAAGTACACCAACAATTTATTTTCAATTGAAAAATAATTTTATTCTTTTCTATGGTTTTCCACGGAATATTGATTGAAAATTGTGTTGATAAGTTACTTAATTTATTATTTTTTTAATTATTACAAAAGTATGCGCAACAGAATTTTATCAATGGAAATCTTCCATAAATAATTATGTCGATAATTTAATATGTATTTTAAAAAAAATTATAAAATAATATTGATAATAACAACAAAAGTCATCATTCGCTAAAATTTCATCTTCATTGGGCCATCCCCACTCATGCACCAAAATTTGCACAATTTTGCATGAAACTAAAATTCATCTCCAACCATTACATCAAAATTTGAACAAAATGAACGGTATTTTATTATTTTATTCATTCTTTCGATTTTTGACAATGTATTTATTTAAATTATTTATTTATTTATTTATTTTATATAATAATGTAATTAATTATTATTATAGAACGAAAATGATACAAATACCTTTAACCATTATCTTTGAAAAATGAAAAAGAAAGACAAAACGGACATTGTACTATTTGGTGCAAAAAAAGTGCAACGATTGGAGGGAAGTTTGCACCAAATGTTACCGCAAAAGGGTGCCCACTGGAGATGGCGTTACCCTCTTTCTAGCAGTGAGACCTATACTATTAGTTGAGTGAACTTACAATATAATATAATATTGTCATTTTTGCCATTGAGATTTACCTGCCGAGTAGAAAGAAAAACAAATATATATTTGTCTTAAATGCGGTTTACAAATTTTAACTTCTTGGATTCTCTTTTCTTAGAATGTTAGCAGGTTATCTCCCTACAATTTATGAGATAAAGATTGGGAATAAAAATGAAAATTGTTGACCCCAAAAAATGTTGTCAACAGATGTCGGATCCACTCGCGCACACGTGAGCGAAGGTCTTACACGCTAAGACACATGGACAGTCTAGGACGAACGGATCAGGGGCGTGGGAGTAGATCAACGACACCGGACGAGAATGTTTGGAATTCGACGGGATGTTCATAATCCGATTGTACAATAATTACCAATCGGTGCTCATGAATGTGCATGTAAATATGTATGAACTCGTATTGTATTGCAAGATAATATAAAAGAGAGAGTAAAGTGTGGTCTCTTGTATTGATTCTTGCATTAGCCCTTTAATGTTACACAAGGGAAGTATTTATAGTGGTACATGTGAAATCGCAGCCCTTGGATGAGGTGGCACGTGGCCTTATCTCTTTAATCCAAACATCTAATCGTAGGCATCATCCTTGACTTGCTAGCTTGCTGCGTATTTATTGTTTATGCAGAATCCCCATGCTAATGACAAGATTTGACATGTACACTTATGACAAACATTCCATCAATCATTCAAATAAAATCTTTATGTAGAAGATCCCTTGGGAGAAGTGATCATGAAAGATGTTCCTTCATGGTTCGGAGGCTTCTGCTTCAACTTCGGATTCAGGCTTTTACCACTCACGTAATACTTCCGCTTTAGAGCTTCGGCTATCTTTTCGGTGATCTCGCATCATAGCTTCGGTTCATGGGCCTCGGCGTATGGACTTCGGCTACTTTCACAGGCCTCGGTATATGGGCCTCGACCATACATGCCACCTCGGTTGGAGTGCCACGTAGTTTGGATTGAGTGGGCCATAGGCCCAAGTAGGTTGGCCAAGTATGACAACACGTAACAATAGTCCCTCAAGTCCAAGTATAGTCATTTATGTAATGCGTGGACTTTAATGAAATAAAGTCAGTGGGTTGGGTAAAAATTGAAAGAATTTTTTAACCCCAAATAATAGTCCCCCAAGTCCAAGTATAGATATTTATATCATGGTTGGAGTTAGAAATGTGTTGTTGTGGGTGAATGATGAAGAAGCCGAGGTGGTTGGGAAATAGAGCCTGCGAGGCTTGATGGCCGAATGTTGAAGATGAAGCCGAGGTGGTTGGGAAACCGAGCCCGCGAGGCTTGATGGCCGAATGTTGAAGATGAAGCCGAGGTGGTTGGGAAATCGAGCCTGCGAGGTGATGGCCGAATGTTGAAGATGAAGCCGAGGTCGTTGGGAAATCGAGCTTGCGAGGCTTGATGGCCGAATGTTGAAGATGAAGCCGAGGTGGTTGGAAAATCGAGCGTGCGAGGCTTGATGGCCGAATGTTGAATATGAAGCCGAAGTGGTTGGGAAATCGAGCGTGCGAGGCTTGATGGGCGAATGTTGAAGATGAAGTCGAGGTGGTTGGGAAATAGAGCCTGCGAGGCTTGATGGCCGAATGTTGAAGATGAATCCGAGGTGGTTGGGAAACCAAGCCTGCGAGGCTTGATGGCCGAATGTTGAAGATGAAGCCGAGGTGGTTGGGAAATCGAGTCTGCGAGACTTGATGGCTGATTGTTGAAAATGAAGACGAGGTTCATTGACAATAATTGTTCCTTGGCAGTTGTGCCAATGATTTGATATTTTGATAATGTTTTCGAGGAAAGGTGGCTAAATCTTTGTAACTTCCAAGGCATCTGCAGCCGTCGAATTAAAATCGTAATTATTAGAATAGCTGGAGCTTCTAGAAGCAGACGTGTTGGATGAGGTGCGTAGGAGACACGCTTAAATTTAAGGCGTAGGTTTGAATTCTACGCCTCGGATTTGATTTAAAATGAAGGGTCCAGATTGATTGAGCTTCGATCTGACGGTGGGGGTTCGTCCCGGCCTTTTATAAAAGGCGAGAGAACTCCCTTTTTATGGATTTTCAGCACTTGCAATCTGATTTCTTCTCTTAGAACTTAAACATTCCAGCGTTGAGGCTATCTGTTCATTGCTTTTCCGACACTTTCTGTTCGCGTAGTTTTTCAGGAGGTATTTTTCACAGAAAATCCTCCTTTTATTGCGTTTTTAGTCATTTCTGAGATGGAGTCCACTTCGGGTAGAGAGTTGGTCACTGTAGCGTCATTGGACCATGGGGTCAGTCATAGGGGGGATTCCGAGGTAGATAGGTATTCTATGACCGAGGAGCCAGTAGACTATAGCGAAGAGTAGGGGGCATCTAGGGTGCCTTCAAATATGACAGGGAAGAGGCTGGGAGAGATTAGGGAGAGGTACTGTGTGCCTCGCTATGTGGAAATGTTAGTTCCCGAAGCCCATGAGCGGGCCTGTTATCCGAGGCCCGGTTGTGTGGCGGTGAGTGAATACCTCTTTAAGGCAAGTACGCGTCTTCCTCTGCACCCCTTCTTTAGGGCGGTGCTGAGGAAGTTCATGTTGTCACCGACCCAGGTTCTACCAAACCGGTGGAGCCAGTTGGTCGGCTCGTACTTCCTGTGGAAGGAAGTATCACTTGGGAAGGACATGTCTCTCCACGTCTTCATGACCCTATTCCAACCTAGGGTAATAGGGAAGAAGTCTAGGGGGTGGTATTACCTAACTCCTTGAGGGGCTCTTACACCATTTGTGGTGGGAGTGCCTTCTTCCATCAAAGAGTGAAAGGAGTCGTGGTTCTGGGTGCGAGGCAGGTAGCAGGCAGTGGAGGGGGACAAAGCCCTGGCTTGCACAGTACTGACCCAGTAATACGAAGCTCATGAGTCTCCCAGCCCAAGTTTGTAATCTGTATTAAAATTTTTATCTTCCTAACTGTTGAGGCTTCCTTTACAGATAGTAGTATGAGGTTCGAGCTGAGTAGGGAGGAGTTTGAAGTGATAGAGGACATTTACAAGAGACCTCTGAAGTTTCGCCACTTCGACCATCTCATCGACAGAAGTCGCTATTTCCTCGATTTTGAACTAATGGCCTCCAAGGGTACAAAGTTCCCACACTTGTATGTT